TGTTAATTATGACAGGAGTATTGCTATTTAAGCATTTGTTTTTAACTACAGGTTGATTCACCATTCAACAACTGATGCAATGGGTTTGCTTTAGCTATAGCTAATAGTATTGCAGTGTTTTCATTGCTTCTGTGCAGTAAATTATTTATTATTGTTGTTGTTGTTGTTGTTGTTGTTGTTATTATTATTATTAATATAACAATAGGAGCCCCCGGTGGCGAAGTGGGTTAAACCCCTGTGCTGGCAGGACTAAAGACCAACAGGCCACAGGTTCAAATCCGGGGACAGGCAGATGAGCTCCCTCTATCAGCTCCAGCTCCTCATGCGGGGACATGAGAGAAGCCTCCCACAAGGATGATAAAACATCAAATCATCCGGGCATCCCCTGGGCAACGTCCTTGCAGACGGCCAATTCTCTCACACCAGAAGCAACTTGCAGTTTCTCAGGTCGCTCCTGACACGACAAATATATATATATATATATATATATATATATATATATATATATATATAAAGCTTGGGCAATCCATGGTTCTAAATGGTTCTAAAGTACTTACAAAACTGAAGTTCAGGTGGTGAAAATTTCAGAACTCTAACAAAACTTTCAAATTTTAATTATTATTTCATTATTGGTGATTTTAATTACAGAACCAATTAGGAACTGCCATTTATAATGAAATTTTGAAAATTTTGTTAGAGTTCTGAAATTTTCACCACCAGAACTTTAGCAACACTTTAGAAGCAAAACATGGATTGCCCAAGCCTTATATATATATATATATATATATATATATATATATATATATATATAGCTGTAGACAGGTTGAGCATCCTTATTCAGAATTCGGAAATCTGAAATACTCCGTAGTCCAAAATTATCCACATAGATGGCTGAAATAGAAATACCTTTGCATTCTGGTGTTTCAGTGTACACAAGCTTCATTTCATGCACATCATTTAATTAAATTATCGTGTATTAAAAGGTGCATATAAAAGATAACTCTTGCATTTAGATCTCACTACTGTGCATATATGCAACGTATGCAACGTATGAGTTATATGTGTGTGTTGTGAAAATTATCTTCAAGCTGTAAGTTATATATGAAACATAACTGGATTTCATGTTTAGACTTTGTCCTCATCTCCAACACATCTGATTACGTATGTATATGCAAATTCAGGTATTCCAGTACCTGCCCCCAAGCAAAATTTTAAATCCAAAACAATTCTATTCCCAAACATTTTGGATAAGGGATGTTCAAACTGCATGAGTAACATGTTAAGCATGAATGCAATAAAATAACACACACATATTCTGGAGCATCAGACAAAAACTGTCACCCCCACATGTTCTGTAATATAAACAGCTTTCAAAAATGGCTTTCAAAAACATATCCATGTTAGTCTGAATCAATATGCACTAGAACAGATAGGTATTTTCAGACACTTCCATCTACCCATCACACTAGAGCAGTGTTTCTCAACTTGGGGGTCGGGACCCCTAGGGGGGTCACGATGGAATGTCAGAGGGGTCACCAAAGACCATCAGAAAACACAGTATATTCTGTTGGTCATGGGGTTCTGTGTGGGAAGTTTGGCAGAATTGTATCATTGGTGAGCTTCAGAATGCTCTTTGATTGCAGGTGAACTATAAATTCCAACAACTACAACTCCCAAATGTCATGGTCTATTTTACCCAAACTCCACCAGTGTTCACTTTTGGGCGTATTGAGTATCCGTGCCAAGTTTGGTCCAGATCTATCATTGTTTGAGTCCACAGTGCTCTCTGGATGTAGGTGAACTACAGCTCCCAAACTTAAGGTCAATGCCCATCAAACCCTTCCAGTATTTTCTGTTAGTCATGAGAGTTATATGTGCCAAGTCCAGTTCACTTGCATTGTTGGTGGAGTTCAGAATGCTCTTGGAATTTAAATTAATCATAAATCCCAGCAATTACAACTCCCAAATGACAAAATCAATCCTCCCCCCAACCCCACCAGTATTCAAATTTGGGCATATTGGGTATTTGTGCCAAATGTGTTCCAGTGAATGAAAATACATCCTATTTATCAGATGTTTACATTATGATTCATAACGTTAGCAGAATTACAGTTATGAACTCACAACAAAAATAATGTTGTGGTTGGGGGTCACCACAACATGAAGAATTGCATTAAGGGGTCGCAGCATTAGGAAGGTTGAGAACCACTGCACTAGAGAATGAATCCAGTTTAAATCCAGTTTCTACCTCCTGCAGAATTATGGGGTTTGTAGTTTAGTGAGGCTGTTAAAGGTGCCTCCCTTAACTACAAACCCCAGAATTCTGCAGGAGGCAGCAACTGCAGAAAGTGGATCATTCCCTAGTGTGATAAGGTTGTTAATCTTTGAAAGCTTATGCTACAAACTTCTCTTAGTTGGTCTCAAAGATGCTACAAGATCCCTTTGTATAGTCATCTTGCCTTCAACTCTTTCCTTCCATCCATTTTTGCTCTGGTGCAGACAACTTTACCTTTCACAGAAATGCCATGTCAGTTAAAAGCAACCCTTTTCACACCATCCATCTTCATGACATGGTCAGAGCAGCTGTCTCAGCTGCAAGCTGCAAAAACAACACAACTCAGCATCCACCCACTCTTTTTTCAAATGTTTGGAGTCAAAAGACAGAGGTCTCCTGACCTGCCATGACCCCAAGCCAAAACCCAGCATTTCACAAAAGCATAAGCATCCTCTGTTGTTGTTTTTCTAAAACCATCTCCAAAAAAACTACAATCATGCAAAACCTTTCTAGGTTGCGAGAGGACTCCCAGCAGCTGGTACAAGAAAGTTGGATACGTTTTTCAAAAATGTTTTGTTGTGAAACAGTCCAGGGCCACACTTCTCTCTCTTCAGATTGAAATAACGTTCAAGACGAATACTTCGCAGCCTGCTTTGTTTAGAATGTAATGTAAATAATATTTACTATTCTGCAACATTTACAATGCATTTCAAAGGACCACTCCTGCGCCCATCATCAAACTTTTCCAAAATGCATCAAGGAAGTGCAGGATCTCTATTAGTCCATTGCAGCCTGAAAATGTATAAAATGCTGGATTTACCTTGACAAATAATGCAGTTGGAACAGCATTATACAGTCAGTGTAAACCAGGTATGGGCAAACCCAGGACCGGGGGCTGGATGCGGCACCTAGGGCTCTTTTCTCAGGCCCTCCTCTCTCACACCATCCTATCTTTCCTTCCTTCTCTCTTTCCTTCCTCCTTCCCTTCCTTCCATCCCTCTTTCTCCATTCCTCCTTCCTTCCCTATCTCTCTTTCTCCTTCCTTTCTTTTTGTCTTTCATCCCTCTTTCCCACTCTCCCTTCCTTCCATCCTTCTTTTCTTCCCTTCCTCTCCTCTTCTCTCCCTCCTTCCCTCTTTCTCTTTCTCCTTCCCTCCTTTTTGTCTTTCCTCCCTCCTTTGCTCCCCCCTTCCCTTCCATCCTTTTTTCCTCCCTCCTTCCCTCTCTCTCTTTCTCCTTCCTTCCCTCCTTCCTTCCTCCTCTTTTTCCTTTCTCCTTTCCTCCTGGGGGATGTTTAGCTGGGAGAAGAACATATTTAGCTAAAGAGGGAACAAGAGAACCATGTTTCAAGATTTTAAAAGGTGTCCCATTGAGGAGGAGGGAAAAACTGACTTTCTGTTGCTCAGGAAGACCAGGGCACAAGGGAGCAAAGGGTTCAAATGGCAGGGAAAGAAATTCGACTGAAAAGATTGGGAAGAACATCCTGGAGAGTGGCATAGGCTGTCTGTAAGTGTGGCGGAATCTCCTTCTCAGGAGGCTTTTCTGCAGAAGCTGTCTATTGGGAGTGCTTTGATTGTGCCTTCTTGCATGGCAGGGGGTTGGACTGGATGGCCCTTGGGGGTCTCTTCCAGCTCTTGGATTCTGTATCAGGAGTAGGAAATACAGGGTCTAATGGATACACTATTCTCTCCTGTCCACCATCTCAGCCTGACCAAGGCCAACCCTTTTGGGATCCAAATGTTTCCAATCTTTCCTTCGCTTTCTGCCTCCAAATGAGGAAGGGTGGGAAGGGGGCTCCCTCCCGGCCCACCCATTCACTCTGTTCCAGCTCAGAATGCAGCCTCCAAGTTAGAAGGTTTGCCCATGTCTGGTGTAAACTCATGTAATGCAGTTCAAACTGTATTAGTTGGGTTTGGGGAGGGGGCTCGGGGAGAACTCCTTCCCTCCCGGCCCACCCATTCACTCTGTTCCAGCTCACAATGCAGCCTCCAAGTTAGAAAGTTTGCCCATGTCTGGGGTAAACCCATGTAATGCAGTTCAAACTGCATTAGGTGGGTTACACTGATCATATGATGCTGTTCAAACCACATTATTTGACAGTGTAGTCTCAGCTAAAGAGGTAGGCAAGATTTCTTAACAAATATAAAATCCATGAAAACCAACCATGAAATAACATTCGAGACCAACACTTCGCAGTCTGCTTTGTTGAGAATTTAATGTAAATAATTCTATTACTATTCTGCAGCATTTACAATGCATTTCAAAGGACCACACTCCTGTGTCCATCATCAAACTTTTCCAAAATGCATCAAGGAAGTGCAGGATCTCTATTAGTCCATTGCAGCCTGAAAAATGTGTAAAATGCTGGATTTACATTGACAACATTACAAGTTCATGCATTCCCAGCTTTAGATCCTTTTTCCAAAAAGATGAGGAATAAAATGCAAACAAACAAACACATACAACACATTGACCAACCGAAAACAGGCCACATTTCAATGCAATTTGGCAAGGCGTACAAATCCATCCGACTGCAAACTCCTTGTCCCTCGGAAGCGTTTGCAAACAACAGAGTATGCTTTTGAAAATACATTCAGATTGTCAGCTTGCAACACAAAACTTTCAGGTTTGCATCTTTAAAAGCAGAAATGCAATGTCCAGTCTCTATGGAAACCCCACATCGAGAGATAGTTTAAAAAAGCAATAGGTAGATAAAGCAAACTCACCATCAGAAGAAGGGGGAGAGAGGTTCCCAGAGTCACTTTTAACTAAGAATGAATTGGGGACAAACTCTTCGTCCTCGGACTCAGAGTCCTGAGTTGGCCGGGCCACTCCGTTGCCTAGCAACCTTCTCTGGCTCTCATTGGCTGGAGGGGGTGAAGGGGGCGGGGAGGGGGACTGCTCAATTGGGGTGGATGAGGCTGATGAACAAGGCAGGGGAGGACCTGTGGACCACAAGACACAAAACACAAGACAGGGAAAAACAAAATAAATAAGAACGCAAAATTGCACCACCAAAGAAGGCAGACGTACAAAATTGTACACATACAAAATTAAATTAAAACACAACCCACACAAACCCCACCAAAAATGCTGAAAAGGGACACAAAGAGGGGAAAGGGGTACATAGAGAGACATTAAAGACATAGGCATGCACAAAAAGGAAATCAAAGAGAACAAGACACAACGTTGTGCACGGTGAGCTCCACAAAGGTCATGCGGAAGGGATTCCCGTTCGGTCAGATGCACCGTTTTAAGACTCCAATCCCAAACCTGGAATAAATGGCATTAAACTCACGGAAAGTAACTTCTGAAGACATTCAGACTTTGTTAATCACTTCTGGAAAAATTTGCAATTTTCAGCAACCGGTTAAAGAGGGTTGAGTGTCCCTTTCTTCTCTTTTGTAACACTGATCCTATTCACTGTGCAGAGAATGGCTTTTCGTCCTCGTTTCCAACGGAGGCTGGGTTTAATCATACCTCGGTGAGATTTCTCAGCAAAATGAAAACTAGTCCCTCCAAGGAGAGCCTGAAGGTTGCACCAGCAAGCAATCGCATGATGAAACTGAGTCGTAATAGGCCAGAAACAAGAGTCAATAGAAAGATAACACACATCCACCTGAACTATTTCAGGAAGATGCTGTTTTAAAGTGATACTAGGACAAAAGATGGTCTTCTTACTGTGGTGCATCTATACTGTAGTTTGACACCACTTTAACTGTATTGTCAAAGGCTTTCATGGCTGGAATCAGGCATGTAGCCGGGGGGGGGGGCTTGAGGGGCTTCAGCCCCCCCCCCCCAAATTATCATGGTGGTTCGCGAAAAGGCCTTACTGGTGCATTATTTAAACTGTTATGTTTATTCATATCATGATCTGATCACCATACTCAATATATCCCATATGCATGGGGGTATTGGGGTAACGATACAAAAGGTTTGCTAGGGTAGACCCTCTTTCACTCAGACTCAGCCCCCGAAACAAACTCAGCCCCCCCCCCCCCAAATCGAAATCCTGGCTACGGGCCTGGCTGGAATCACTGGGTTGTTGTAGGTTTTTTCGAGCTATATGGCCATGGTCTAGAGGCATTCTCTAATCCTCTAGAGTCTAGACCATGGCAATATAGCCCGAAAAAACCTTCAACAACCCACCACTTTAACTGCTGGTACATGCACTTTAAATAGCTTTTTCTCATGAGTAACTTGCAATTGATGACTGTGATAGACCCACACTGGTAGCTATACCAGGACCCTTTACATTTCTCATCATATACTTCAAATTTCCCTCTATATCCTGGAGTTTCTGCCTCTCCTGGGCTTGCCATGGAATTGAAAGTACTCCTGCACTTTTACCCGGCCCTCGCTCAGGGTCAACCTAAGTCTGAAATGACTTGAAAGCACACAACAACAACAACAACAACAACAATCCTATCTCATCAGCCAAAAGCAGGCCCACACTTCCCATTGAAATACTAAGTTTATATTTGTTAAAATTGTTCTTCATTTTAATTATTGTATTGTTTTAAGTGTTTTTTGCACTACAAATAAGATATGTGCAGTGTGCATAGGAATTCATTCATGTTTTTTAAAAATTATAATCCGGCCCTCCAACAGTTTGAGGGATTGTGACCTGGCCCTCTGTTTAAAAAGTTTGTGGACCCCTGCTCTAGACCATGGCCATATAGCCCAAAAAAACCTACAACAATCCACCACTTTAACTGCTGGTACATGCACTTTAAATAATGGCAACAAAAGGATGGATGATTGGTATATAGCCTTAAATGTATATGTTCTCGCCAGAAATTGCCAAATTTGAGGATTACAATTGGGTTTCGCAGTGTCATCTTCTGAACTCCTAAAAATAGTGCCAATTATTTTTAGCTTCCCCCCATTTAGCTTCCACCGGGACTGTGGTTCAGCTGTCTGGGAGTCAGCTGCATTAAGATAACTACTGACCAAAAGGTCATGAATTCAAAGCCAGCCTGGGTCAGAGTGAGCTTCCAACCAATTTGTGTAGCTTGCTGTCGACCTTTGCAGCCCAAAAGACAGTTGCATCTGTCAAGTAGAAAATTTGGGTACCCCATATGCAGGAGGCTAATTTGCGACGCCATAAAAATCTCCAGCAAGCATGCAAAAAATGAGGAAGTACTTCATCAGTGTCACAAATGTACGGTGAATCGACAGCTCCCCTGGTGGCCAGAATACCCTCATGAAAAATCTGGAAAGTTAAATAGCCTCTGTGTGTCTGTCTATAAATGTTGTGTGTCTATGGCATTGAATGTTTGCCATGTATATGTACATTGTACAGCTCCGGGATTGTGGCGGCACCGGGATTGTGGCGCAGCTGGCTGAGTGTCAGCTGCATTAAGATCACTCTGACCAAAAAGGTCATGAGTTCGAAGCCAACCCGGGTTGGAGTGGGTTTCCAACCAATTGTGTGTAGTCTGTTGTCGACCTTTGCAACCTGAAAGACAGTTGTATCTGTCAAGTAGGAAAATAAGGTACCACCTTAAAGTGTGGGGAGGCTAAATTAACTGATTTATGAGGCCATAAAGAAGACTCCAGCAAAGCATTCCAGCGGGGAAGCATGCGGGGAATGCGGAAGTGCTTCATCAGCGTCGCAGATGGACGATGAAAGCGACAGCTCCCCTGGTGGCCAGAAAACGTTAAATAGCCTCTGTGTATGTCTGTATATGTTTGTATGTCAAAAATTGGCATTGAATGTTTGACATATATGTGTACACTGTAATCCACCCTGAGTCCGCTGCGGGGTGAGAAGGGCGAAATATAAAAGCTGTAAATAAAATAAATAATAAATAATAAATTGTAATCTGCCCTGGGTCCCCTGCGGGGTGAGAAAGGCAGAATATAAATACAGTAAAATAGATAGATAGATAGATAGATAGATAGATAGATAGATAGATAGATAGATAGATAGATAAATTTGGAATAGCTAATTAGGTTTGGAACAGAGTATCATTCTGAAAACTCATCACACATTTTCTTTTAAATGTAAGGAAAACAAACCAGTGGGAGGAATTTGTGTCAGACTTTGCAAAAAACAAAACAACCATGGCAAAAGATAAAAATTAATAATGTGCTTTCTAACATGTTGTGTGAACGTTACAACTTTGCATCAATGTAGACCATATAAGATCTTTAAGAGACATACAATGCTGCTAGTGCACCCTCCACAAATCTCGACATTAACCCACCAAGGTTTTGTTTGTCTGCTTGGTTCTCTCTCTCTTTCTCTCTTTCAGAAAAAAAAAAGATTTGCCAAGGTTCAGAGAACTGAAAGCTCAGCTCACCTCAGTGGTTTCCTCCCTTTCTTGGTTTTGGCCGCTGGACCATGTCATGACAGGCAGAGGTTCCTCCCCCCTGAACGCTCCCTTCCCTGGTTTATGTCGAGCTTGACTTGGATGTTGTAAAAATTGGCACCGGCCCCTTTTGTTTCTCAGCGCCTTTCTGATCGCAGCTTGCAGAGAGAGGCCTCAAAGGGAGAGGATGAATGAAACCTACCACTTCCATGCAAAAAAAAAAAAAAAAAGGTCCCCCGCTTTGTAATCCAGACTCCTCTCCTCCTCCAGACCAAAGCCTGACTTTAAAACTTGAATTGGTGCAAGGGAGAGATCCGATCTCACCCTAGGGCCCGATATATCACATCTAAATACAACCAGCACATCCAAACGCAACTAACTGACGATGCTCTGCTGGTGTTAATATCACGGACGGACAAAGGATAACAACACTGAAAAGGCAAAGAAGGGTTAAAGTTGCTAAATCAATGAGGAAAGAGTTCCTGGCCTTTGTACAGCAAGGTTTTGTAAGGCAAACACAGGGTGCATCTACACTGTAGAAATAATGCAGCTTGATTCCACTTTAATTCCTAGGGCTCAATGCTATAGAATTGGGAGTTGCATTTTTATAAAATCTTTAGCTTTCTCTGCCAAAGAGTGCCTGTGCCTCTCCAAACTACAACTCCCAAAATTCCTTAGCATTGAACCATGGCAGTAAAAGTGGTGATGAACTGCATTTATTCTATAGTGTAGATATATCAAGAGTCAAATGCGCACCCAAATACCTGGGTGTCACTCTGGACCATGCTCTGACCTACAAGAAGCACTGCCTGGACATCAAGCAAAAAGTGGGTGCTAGAAACAATATCATACGAAAGCTGACTGGCACAACCTGCGGATCACAACCAGACACAGTGAAGACATCTCCCCTTGCGCTATGCTACTCTTTTTATTTATATAGATGGTATTACACAAAGGGCCCTAGAATGGAGGCACATCTCTCCTTGCTAAAACAGTGGATGTGGCTCTTAATGAGACATGCCAAATTATCACAGGGTGCCTGCGCCCTACACCACTGGAGAAATTACACTGCTTAGCCGGTATTACACCACCTGACATCCACCTGGAACTAGCAGGCAATTGTGAAAGGACCAAGGCAGAGACATCTCCAGCTCATCCCTTGTATGGGTATCAGCCAGCAAGTCAACGACTTAAATCAAGACATAGTTTTCTTAGATCTACATCGTTGATGTGCTGGCATCGGCCAGCACATCAACGATACCCAATGAGAGACTCTCCTCTGTGCACACAGAAAAGTGTGGAGAAGAGCAAGAAGAGAAGACCACCTGCTGCAATGCAACCTGAGCCATGCCACGTGCACAATGGAGGACCTTCTTATAGCAACACCAGAGGCACTCCAAGTGGCCAAATACTGGTCAAAGGACATTTAATCAACTACCAAACTCACACATTTTGTATTTTGTCTGTTTGTTTGCTTTGTTCTGTTAGAAATGTAATATAATTGACTGGTTGCCCTGAAACGACAAATAAATGCATCCGTTGCAATAGACTGCCTTCCTTCTATCCCTGCATTAAGAAAGAAGAAATGCAATTGGTGCAAAGCACTTTGAGAAAAAAGACTTGTTTCT